ATGGGCAAGGCCCTGAATACAGTTAAAAAAAAAAAGTGTATGCAAGAAAGTATAAGTACTCGAGCTTTATTTCAAAAAGAGGGGCTTTGCGTCCCCAAGAGCTACATAAAAAGAAAAAGTACAGTCGAAAAAGAAAAGTCTTTTATCTTGCCCCGGGCATCTCCAAAACATCCGCCGAGGGTGAATCGGCGTAGAAAGGTTGAGCAGCTTCGGGAGTAGGCAGAACGGGAGGTACTTCGGCAACAGAGAGACCCTGAGGAATGTTATGGTCCGGGACCTGGTCCGGCAAGGCCTCGTCAGAAAAATCCACTATTACCGCCTCAGGCAGATCCGCCGAAACTTGCACCGGCGTTGGAATCTCGCCCTCGGCAGCAATCTCCACTTCGGCCTGCTCCATATCTGCCGAGGGCNCTCTCAGTGTTTGCCAACGACAAAGATAAAGGGCAAGACCCTGGGGACAGAGTTCAAGGACTCTTGCCCCCGAAACAAACACAGGAGCAAGCCTCCTGGAAGGGCAAGGCCCTAGGGACAGAGTTCAAGGACTCTGGCCCCCAAAACAAATATAAGAGCAAGCCTCTTGAATGGGCAAGGCCCTGAATACAGTTAAAAAAAAAAAGTGTATGCAAGAAAGTATAAGTACTCGAGCTTTATTTCAAAAAGAGGGGCTTTGCGTCCCCAAGAGCTACATAAAAAGAAAAAGTACAGTCGAAAAAGAAAAGTCTTTTATCTTGCCCCGGGCATCTCCAAAACATCCGCCGAGGGTGAATCGGCGTAGAAAGGTTGAGCAGCTTCGGGAGTAGGCAGAACGGGAGGTACTTCGGCAACAGAGAGACCCTGAGGAATGTTATGGTCCGGGACCTGGTCCGGCAAGGCCTCGTCAGAAAAATCCACTATTACCGCCTCAGGCAGATCCGCCGAAACTTGCACCGGCGTTGGAATCTCGCCCTCGGCAGCAATCTCCACTTCGGCCTGCTCCATATCTGCCGAGGGCATGTACTTGTGCATCTGGAAGAGCGGAGAGTCTGACGGGATTCCAGCAGACTGGAGCGCCTCGTCCCACCCTTTCTTGAAGAATTCCTTGCTGTTCTCCTCAAGAGCGGGGAGCACGTCATCGACAAACTCTTCTCGGAGTTGCTCCTCGGACTTCCTGTTCTGCGCNGCCTCGTCCCACCCTTTCTTGAAGAATTCCTTGCTGTTTTCCTCAAGAGCGGGGAGCACGTCATCGACAAACTCTTCTCGGAGTTGCTCCTCGGACTTCCTGTTCTGCGCCTCGGCCCTGATCCTATCCAGCTCCTGGGTCAGAGCCAGACAGCTTTCCTCTGAGCCAACAGCCCTTTCCTCCGCCGCAGAGAGCCGCTGCATCTGCTCTGTGATCCTCCCCTCAACGTCGGCAAGGGCAGCACTAAGCTTTTCAGCACCGACTTTAGCCAACTCAGCATCCTGGAGGAGTTGCTCGATTTGAGCAGCCTGCCCTGCGAGGGTGGAATCCCTGGTGGCTACGTCCTCCTTGGCACTAGCAAGGGCACCCTCCGCTTCTTCTTTCTGCTCTCGGACCCGCTAGAGGTCCATCCTAGCCCCATGATACCGCGCCGCTATTTATGGAGATCTGTTGGGTAGCCTGCAAAGGAAAAGGCATGTCACTAAAAGGAAAAGCGGCTAAAAAAAAAAAAAGAAGACTGAGGCAAAGATGAAACTTACCANGAGGTAGAAGTGTTGTTGAGGCGTAACTCTCAAGAGGGAATAACAAAAAAGGATATTGTTCAACCCGACGTTTATCCCAAGACGCTTATTGAGCTNAAAAAAAAAAAAAGAAGACTGAGGCAAAGATGAAACTTACCATCAGGGAATTCTGGATGATGGAGCGAAACAACACGTTCGTTGATCGCCCCCTGTGAGCCACCATGTCGGCCTCAAAATGCAGCGTCTCACTCACTGCATTGGCGATATGGGGGTCCTGCAAAATGGAATCGTCGACCCTGATCACTTGATTCATGTGATCAATGGCNTGAGCTCTAGGACCCCCATAATTATCCTAAAGACATTAAGGCAACACTGCCCGGGAAAGAGGCAAAAACGAGAGAGGAACTGGAGAAGCAGAGGGGGCAAAGGGAACCTAATTCCACCTTCTACGATGGCTTTGATAAAAAAAAGGCAGTNGCTCGAGGATTCCACTCTGCGGCTTCCACTGTCGGCGGAAGGGGGGGAGGAGTTTGTTGTTGTCGCTGCTGCTGCTGCTGCTGCTGTTGTTGTTGAGGAACAGGGGGAAACCCACGGCCTCTCCCACTTTGATGCTGAACNCTCTATGTCTACATTCGGGGGAACGTTGTACTTAACCCTAAATCTATTAATTTGTTCACCACCTTTTACTGTATACTTTCCTGGCCTCGAAGTACTAGNCCCTGCCAAGGCCATCATGCCTATGTTTGATCCTCCTCTCCTCCTCTACCTGAGGATCCCGGTCACGCACTTGACCCCCGACTAACGACTCTTGAGGAGGGGGTGGCGCTGGTCCCTGCAGATGAGGCCCCACCGGTCGACCCTCGTCCCCTCCCGACAGCGAGTGCTTGTCTCAGCCTTAGGAATCNTTTCCACGAAGATCCCCAAGAAGGCTTCCCGGGGATTGGTCGCTGAAGGGCAACCAGAAAACACCTCCGGCGATCGAANTTAGGAATCCTAGATCAATGCGGGGCGTGCTGGACATGGCTACCTCGAGGGCATCCTCGGCGTCTAGGGATTGTAGGATTTGAAAGTCTGGCCACGAATCTCTCCCCGAAGTTCCCACCTCGGCGTGCGAAGGAACCAAGTTCTCCCTGACCCCGAGCTCTTCAACTCTACCCTCTACTTCTGCCTTCGAAGCCCGGTCGGGGTCTTCTTCCAAGTTCTCCTCGACTTCTTGCTCCACCGCCTGATCGAAGAGTTCAGACCACCGTGAAGGATCGAAAGGCTGGGGAAGCTGTGAAAACTTCTTATATCCGGGAGTATAATTCAGGAGGATGTGGGCAGCCCGCCCGAGCCCGTCGGAACCAATGAATCTCCAAACGGTGGCTAGGTCCACAAAATTCACCAACGACCGGGGTGGAGGAGCTATTTCCCGAGGGGAGATATNGGTGTCAGAAGATCGAAGGCTGGGGGGCAGTTGATGGGACATTTCCGGAATACTCCCAGATAAAGACACGTGTCCTAGNCAATGAATCTCCAAACGGTGGCTAGGTCCACAAAATTCACCAACGACCGGGGTGGAGGAGCTATTTCCCGAGGGGAGATATCTGCACAAGCAAAAAGAGGGGAGTGGGTCATGAACACGTAGAAAATCTCAGAAACAGAATAATAGACCCGAAGAAATCNCTTACCATGGATCGAGTGGCATCCAGTACGCTTTTATGTACCGACACATACCCTCGATCTGATATGGTACATCGGTCGCTAGGCCTCCCCCCTTTCAGATTCAAGATGTACATATTCCTCGGTTTCCGAGATATACCTCTTCCTCGGCTCTGATATGTACCTCTTCCTCGGTACCGAGATGTACCCCCTCATCCAGGATGAAGTTCTCTGCTCCAGCAGAGGCTATTGATGCACTGGTCACTAGCCTAAGCTAGGCTAGGTTAGTTATCATGACCTCGTCTTACACAATCGGTGTCAGAAGGCACAGGAAGGCAGGGGCCACAGCCAATGAGGAATGGACGCGTGGCATATTGTGTCACATCAAAGACAGAAAGACCGCATGGCCTTGCTGACACTCGACTTAGGAAAGCAAGCATTTAATTACGCCATTTCCTTGATGAGACTGCATTCAATGCGGTAAGGCTCGGAATTGAAAGACAATAAATACATCTAAGGCTGGACATTTATTGCGTCCTCCCCGAGGGGAGCTCATTGAACAGTCGACAGACCGATGACACAGTATTGATTGCTCGGGATCCCGAGCAGTTAAAAGAGAAGACATTCCTCATCAGAATTAGTGCGCACACTGTTTGTATCTAATGATCACCTACTAACTATACTGACAACAATTATGAGATTTTGAGGTATAAATACTCATCGTAAAAGGCAAGATGGTATGCAACAAAAAACCTTTGCTACAATACATATTCAGTGTTTTCTTCTTCTTCTTTCTCTCAAAGACTGACTTGACCGTCGGAGGAGAAACGCCGAAAAACACTCCGGCGCCCTTCTAACTTGTTCTTCTTTGTTCCAGGAATCTTTCTTCAGCGTTACTGAATCGTTCCTTTGATCCACGAGTGTCTTCCATTACCGTTCCAGGTTACCACAGGATTTCACAGGCTGTTCCAAGCAGCGTGGCTGACCATTTCACCGATTCACTTGAGTTCACCAAGAGAGAGATCTGTTCTCATTTTTATATTGTGCAAGATCCAGCACGCACAAAAATCATTTTATTTATCTTTTGAGATTTAAATTGTATTATACACATTTTTGAGATCTGTTCTCGTTTTTATATTGTGCAAGATCCAGCACGCACAAAAATTATTTTATTTATCTTTTGAAATTTAAATTGTATTATACAAATTTTTGAGATTTGAATTGTATTTTACATGTATCCTATCCTATGTTGTAAAATGGGCGGGTCGATTTATCCGAATGAAAAAGCCTTGTCCATATCCCAAAGCACTAATGCTATTGAGACATAATGAGTTGTTACCAATGAAATGATAGTGAAATGTATTTAATGATGAGTCCCATTGTAGCCTTAATGAATTCATTATTATATCATTAGTGATAATTCATTATATTCTTAAATTATATCTATAAATTATGTCTTAATAGCATTGTTCTATCTCAACGAATAATGATAGGTGACCAAATTTTGAAAAGGTTAAATGGATAAATACTGTATCCGTAAAATGTAGCATTACTGTATCTGAAAATGATAAATAGATAAGTAGATATTTCATAGACGAAGCGCCATAGCTAGCAGCAGAGCTGCAGAGCACCTCTCTCTCTGCGTCTCTCTGTTTGTAAACATAAAAATGCCTCAAACCATGTTGTTCCTCAAACCGTTTATTTCACCTCCATCATTCGTCAATTGGAGGTAGGCTTCCCCCCCTCTCTGGTTTTTTCTTTTTCTTATCACAACACAATTGGATTGAACCTTTACCCTTTGTTTGGTTACTGGGAAAACTAATAATCATAGCTCACCAAAAGCCAAGTAATTGCATCTGGTTGAATAGGTTCTAGGGTTTGAAAAGTAGTGGTGAGTTGCTAAGTTGCCAGTTCGTTGTTTGCCTTTCTTGTACCATACCTTATTTCTAGCATATATCATACCTCTAAAGATTCTTGATTTTGGTTCTGAGCCACATTGTCATTATGCTATAGCCAGAAAAGTAACCATAGGGGCATAGTTGAACTATGCATGGAGACTTCTTTAATAGATTCCAAGCTGGAAAGATTGGGTTCAATAATGAAAAAAAGAACTTATGGAAATGCTGCATAATGAAGAAATCATTATATATTGTAAATAGATTGGTGGATGATTCTCTAGCTTGAATTTTTTGGGTGTATTCATGTTTAACAACACCTGCTGATGTGTTGCTTGACCAAACAAAAAATCATTATATTCCATGTATATATACTTGTGGATAATTCTTGAATTTTGACCCAGTTAGAACTTTCTGGGTGTAATCATGGGCAATGACACTTGCTTATATTTTGTTTTCAGTATATTTATGTTAAATAATTTCGTTATAACCCTTGAATAATAGCTTCAACTTTTGGGGCTTGTATTGGATATAACAATTGCAGATACGTTATTCAACAAACTCTTCCAACCTATTTCATGATGGATATCTTTTTGCAGCTTTGGCTATTTACCCAGATTGAAAATGTGGGGTCTAATTATGGGTAATTAACACTTTTGGACTGTGGTTATGTTGTATTTTCTCCAGTAAACCAAATATTAGTGGGAATCCAACTGAAGCCAATGCTAAAATTGGTAGAAGAGTGAAGGTTGTTTGTCTTGGAATGTTGGCACCAAGAAAGTTCATGCAAAAGAGGAAGAAAATAGAGGTTTTCAAGGATGCTGCTGATGAAACGGATCAGAAAAACTGGAGGAGACTGATGAACGAAATTGAGGAGGCAGGTTCTGCAGTTTTAGTGCTCAAAAGCCGAAGGACCAAGAACCAGGCTCTTCCTAAAGATGTGGTTGTTGGCACCTTAATTAGGTTTAAGCAGATGAAGAAGTGGAACCTCGTCAGTGAGGTCAGCAAATTGCTTACTTTTCCTGTCCCTACTCGGATATTTTCTTATTGTCCTTTTAAAAGCACCGTGAAACCTACCTAGGAGCAGGACATTCGGGAAGTGTTGTACAATTGATTAACTCAGCAAATCAATTTGATGAGGAATACTGATAGCAAATTCTAAAAGCTATGAGATTACTGCAGTTACACCTAAATTCGAAAATTTAATGTAAGGCATAGCTAAAATATTGTATCGCATAATTCCCATCTATTCTATGTCTATAAATAGAAGGAGGTAGAGTGTAGATTATCGGATATGAATGTTATTGAACTGCGGATGGTTGGGGTACCTTTGTGCTCTAACTCATGTGTTGGCGCATCCACAAGTTCTCCCATTGATTTTGAGTATCTAAATTAAGTTTGCCTTATTTTCTATATATCAAGAGGAGGAGGTCTGCTCTCTATGAACTTCTTACTTTTTGCATCTATCTTGATTAGTTCTTCTGACTTAATGTTTTTTTTTTTCATTGTGTTCTAGATTCTTGAATGGCTTCGGACACAGCATTGGTGGAATTTCAACGAGATGGATTTTCTGATGCTTATTACAGCATATGGAAAGCAAGGGGACTTTAACAAGGCTGAAAGGGTATTAAGCTACATGAACAAGAAGGGCTTTCCACCAAGTGTCATATCCCACACTGCTCTCATGGAAGCATATGGAAAAGGCAGGCAGTACAATAAGGCAGAAGCAATATTTCGAAAGATGCAATCTTCAGGTCCTGAGCCTTCTGCTGTAACATATCAAATAATTCTTAAAATATTCGTTGAGGTAATTGTTCCTTTCTATAATATCTTTTGAAATCTTTCAAAAACATCTGTCAAGCTGATAAGCCTGATATTATTTGATTTCTTTGACACACTTGTTAAAGTTAAAGCAGCTATTCTTTCAGTATAAACGGTTGTGCATCAAGAGTATGTAAAGCTAGTTGCTCTTGCACTCATGATATGAAAACTTCTGCAATCCTTGGATTTTATAGTAAGATCAAGAGGAATGTGAAAATACAACCTATACTATGAAATTTTCTTGGCGAGTGGTTATGAATGCTCTTGATTGTTCACTGACTTAAGACAAAGGCTGCAATTGTTTGCATAAGTATAACGGTACTGTTGAAGTTTCACTTCATTGAATGTTATTGGATCATGTATCCTCGAGTTGAAATCAAACCTCCGATATGAGTATTTTTTTTTTGGTCAGATCAGATATGAGATTAAATAGTGGTGTTTTGTCTAGCATAATTTAATAAGCTTATTATAGATAAAAGGCAGATGCAAGATCTCCTATGTCATTACTTCTTACAAATATCCATGTTTACTCTTATATTTTCCTCCTTATTTTTTTCCCCAGAAGTCCCAATGTCAACTTAATTTCTCAAGTAGTAACTTGTGCCAATGCATATACAAATTCTATTGCCTTCTAATTGGAAATTGGGTTTGATCTCAGTTTGGATCAGTTATTTTTTGATAGTGTTTAAATCTCCACTAACCACTCCTTAACTTGGTTAAAATTTTCTACTATCATTTGTTTCAATCCAATGTGTTCTAGATTATTCTGGTTTTTGATATGTGGAAACTGGAGATCAACGTGGATGTGTTTTAGTAGCAGTAATTATTGTGTCATATGGACTCATTATAGTGATATTGAGTGTAATACTGATAGTTCAGAAACCCTAAGGCATGAACCATCTCTAGTCCATTTATCTTTTTGTATTATATTTTGCTGAACTTGAAAGACATTGGCAACATTAAGATACCTAAATATGAGGCATCAGCTCTCCCCTCTCTCCTCCGGCTTCTCGGTGTTGTCGTTGGTGTTGAACTATCTTATCATGGATCTCCCCTAGCTTGTATATAACAGACAATACAGAATTTGAATTTTCCTGTGTGTGCATGCGGTAAGATCTGCTTTAGTATTGCTTCACTACATGTTTATGCCTATCTTAGATGTTGAATCCCATTGGTCTATCTTATCAAAAAAGAAAGAATCTCATTGGTGTAGCTGGGACTATTGCAGGGAGACAAGTTCAAAGAAGCTGAAGAGATTTTTGAAACCCTTCTGAACACAGAGGTTTCACTTTTAAAGCCAGATCAAAAGATGTTCCACATGATGATTTATATGCATAAGAAGGCAGGGAACTATGACAAAGCTCGTAAACTATTTGCGTTGATGGCTGAGCGAGGAGTTCAACAAACTACAGTCACTTATAATAGCTTAATGTCATTTGATACTAATTACAAGGAGGTTTCGAAAATTTATGACCAGGTAAATTTGAATTACTAGCTGTTAGTTCTCATCTTCAATTATGATTAAGAGTTAACCATATTGTCTTTTATTTCAGAAAGTAATAACCATACTGTCCTTTTGGCTGTACTTCTTATAACTGACTGTTCCCTTGCTGTAAAAATTTCTTAGTCTTGTTTGTTACTTGTGACATATATGCCATGTCTGTTTCTACCTTTTCTCCATAAAGTTGAGTTTTCCTTAATTTCTGTATTTCAATTCAACAATATTGCTGTCTAATACTAATATTGGGAGTTTGTATATCTTCCACTGGTCCTTTTGTTTATGCAATTTTTTTTTTATTAGTGAAAAACTGCCTTTTCTTTTAAGCATGCAATTGGTTTCATAAATCTATTAATGTGGATCTATGTTTTTACATCATGAATATTTACTCTGAGATCCTGTGTGTGCTCAGTAACTAGAATAGGGAAAAGTGACATGATGAAAAGGTAGGTATGACTGGAGAAGAACACGAGAGAGCTGAATCACACTGGATATGAAGTGCTAGTTTCATTTGCTTCTAGGTTGTCATTGTTTTTAAAAAAAATGTGAATATTTTAAAGGCAGCCTATGCACTTGGTCAATAGTATTTTATTATGCTGCTTATTGGAATGTTTTCCTTGTAATCACTTACTCAGCATGGGTTACATGCATGTAACTGCACAAGTACTTGAGTATGAGAGATTTTGACACTTTTATTAGGGAAATTGAACTTAATGATCTGCCTTTGGCTAATTGTGGTTTTACTTGGTCTAATTTCTGGCAGGCTTTGGTGTGTAAAAGGCTTGATTGGTTTTTGTTTAAAGTGAGATGAGAGGAGTGCTTTCAGAGATGTAGACAGGAGCTGTTTCTGACCATTGTCCTATTGTTCTTCATAATTCTACTATCAAATGGGGACCGGTTCCTTTTAGGTTTGAAAACATGTAGCTTGAGCATCATTCCTTTAGGGATAGTTTTAAAGAGTGGTGGGAGGTGGAAGTCTTGAAGGTTGGGAAGGATATAAGTTCATGAAAAAACTGGAGTTTATAGAGAAGAAGATCAAGGAGTGGAGTACAAAGGTTTTTAGAGATATACGTGTCACTAAGAGTTTGATTTTAGAAAAGATGGGGGATTGGATGATGGATTGAGAAAAGAGGGATGAGATCTTAGAAATAATTTTGAAGAGATTCTTTTTATTGAAGAAATTAGTTGGAGACAAAAATCAAGGGTGAAATGGGTGAAAGAAGGAGATAATAATACTAAGTTTTTTTCATAGAGTGACAACTGAAAAAAGGAAGAAAGTTATCAATAAATTGGCAGTAGAGAATGAAGATTTTATTGAGGAGGAAGATTTAATTGAAAGAGAGGTTGTGAATTTTTTTCATAATTTATATTCAGCATGTGATGATCGGATGCCAGTTTTGGTAGGTCTTGATTGGTGCCTCATTGAAGAGATGAAAGCCAGATGGATGGAGGCACCATTTGAGGAGGAAGAACTTAGAATGACTATTTTTAAGTGTAGTAGAGCGAAAGCACCTGAGCTATTGGTTTTACAATGGCTTTTTTTTAAGAGTGTTGGGAGGTAGTGAAAGGTGATTTGATAAATTAGAAATATATGTGAGTGAAAAGGGATACAAACTAAGTGTAGAGTCTTCGTATATATAGCCAATGAAAGTTTACCATAAGGATAAAAAGGTAAAACAAAATAAACCCTAGGTTGTTATATCTCCAACACTCCCTCTCAAGCTAGGCGCAAAAATGTCAACTAAGCCAAGCTTGACAACGAAGTCCCGAAGAATGGATCGAGTGACAGGTTTGATGAAAATATCCGCAACTTGATCCCTGGTCCCCACGAACGATGGAGTGACAATACCACTGTTAACCTTCTCTCAAAGGAAGTGAACATCGATCTCTATATGCTTCGTCCTCTTGTGTAATACCGAATCAGAAGCGAACTGAATAGCAGATCGATTATCACAATATAATGTAGATGAAGATGTCACTGGAAATTCCAACTTGCCAAGAATCGATCGTAGCCAGATAATCTCACATGTGCCAAGTGCTAGTGCCCGATACTCTGCTTCTGCTGACGAGCGGGAGACAATTGACTGTTTCTTGCTCTTCTAAGAGATAAGATGAGTCCCTCGAAAAGCACAAAAACCTGTAGTAGATCGACCATCACACGCTCCCCCATAATTTGAATCTGAATAACAGGCTAGAGAACCAATCTGAGATCCTAATGCATAGAACAACCCAAGTTCAAGACCAGACTTGAGTTATCGAAGAATATGATAAATTGTATCAAGATGAGGCTGATATAGTCTGAGCATGAACTGACTAACTCGGTTGACAGCAAATGAAATGTCTAGCCTAGTGTTAGCTAGGTAGATAAGCCTATCTACCAACCTCTGATAGACAGTCGGATCTCTTAACTCCTCACCTTCAGTAGTAAGCTTCAGGTTTGGAATCATAGGTGATGATGTTGGTTTGCATCCTAGCATCCCAGTGTCTGAGAGAAGATCCAGAACATACTTTCTCTGAGAAAGAACAATACCTCTACTGCTACGGGTAACCTTAATCCTAAGAAAATATCGCAGAAATCCAAGGTCCTTCACATCGAAGGCCTTCCCAAGGTCTACCTTGACCAGTGCAGTCCTAGAAACTTAATCTTTAATATTAATAATATCATCAACATATACCAAAAGGATGACACACTGTCTAGAAATATTCCGTCGAATGAAGCAAGTATGATCAAAATGACATCTGGTGAACCCTAAACGTACAACTACATCACTAAAGTGAGAAAATCAGGCTCGTGGTGACTGTTTCAGTCCATAAAGAGATTTTCGCAGTTGACATACCTTTCCAGCATACTCCCCCTCACCACGAAAGCCCGGTGGTGTATCTATATAAATAATCTCGTCCAAATCACTATGAAGAAATGCATTCTTCACATCCAACTGATGAAGAGATCAAGAGTACTCTGCAGCCAGAGAAATAATCAATTGAACAATAGTCAATTTTGTCACGGGGGCAAATGTAGCACCAAAATCACGATCTAGTACTTAAGTAAAGCCCTTCGCCACAAGCCTAGCCTTGTGATGATTAATAGTACCATCCACAAGAAATTTCAGCGTGTAAACCCATCGACAGCTAACAGGGTTCACCCTTGAAGGTAAAGAGATAAAATCTCACGTATGATTATGCTGAAGAGCGTTCATCTTTGTCTGCATGTCAATAACCCACTAGAGTTACTGCATAACCTCTGAAACAGAGCGAGGAACTGACATATCTGATAAGGCCATACTATAAGCTCGAAATGTAGGAGAAAGACCACCACAAGAAACATAGGCAGAGATCGAATATAAAATCCTGGCAGTCCAACCATAACGGACAACTGGACGACGATCACGCTGCGGATAACGACGCCCTAAATCATCATCCTCCACTGACAATGTCTCATCAGGGAAAGCAACTGGCTCAGTACCTGCAATCTCATCAGTTCTAACAACAGGTGTATCAATATGCTCAACTAACTGAGAAGTATTACTTGCATCGCCTGAGGTAGAGGGGACATCAATAAGGGGATGAGAGCGAGGGCGACGAACATAAACCTGCAAAGGAAGAGAGACTGGTGACTCTGTACTAACAGAGATGAGTGACTCTGGTGGAGGAGAGACTGAAGACTTTGTAGTGATAGTGACCAATGATTTTGGCTCCTGTGGTAACAAAAAATCAAAGAGAGTATTATCAATTGGAGGGGCAGACACAGAAGTGGAAGAAAAATAAGGAATGTGATCAAGAAAGGTAACATCTAAATTGTGATACATACGGCGCTTGATATGATCATAACATCGATACTCCTTAGACTGATGACAATAGCCCACAAAGATACAACAAATCTCTTTATCATCGAGCTTATGACAAGTAGGAGACCGATCATGAACAAAACATATGCAGCTAAAAACACGAGGGGGGACCGAAAAGTGTCCGCTCAGGGAATAAGACTTGTAAGGGAGCCCTATGCTGAAGAACACGACTCGGTGTACGATTACATAAAAAGGTAGAAGTCAAAACAGCAAAATATCAATAAGATTTTGATACCCCCATACCTTTAAGTATATAACATACCATTCTTATTAGACTCCTATTTTTTCTTTCAGTAACTCCATTTTGGTCAGGAGTATATGGACAAGTGAGCTGTTGAAGGATATCCTGAAAAGAAAGGTGAGACACTAAGGCATCAGACACATATTCTTTGGCATTATCTGAACGAAGAGCACGGACAATGACATCAAATTGTGTCTTAATCATCTGGAGAAACTGAGTGATAATAGGGAGTACATTAGACTTCCTATGCAAAAAGTAGACTCAAGTACAACGGGNAGACACTAAGGCATCAGACACATATTCTTTGGCATTATCTGAACGAAGAGCACGGACAATGACATCAAATTGTGTCTTAATCATCTGGAGAAACTGAGTGATAACAGGGAGTACATTAGACTTCCTATGCAAAAAGTAGACTCAAGTACAACGAGTATGGTCATCTATAAATATCACATAGTATCGGACACCTGATAGAGTAGTAACAGGAGTNAATGACAGATAAAGAAGGTCCATAAAACTCCCAAATAATCAGGTTGTGGTGCCTAGAAATCTAGAAAATAGAAATAAATGATCTACTTCATCAAGAGTAGATCAATGGAAAAGGGGATTCAATCCCTTTTAAAACAGTCCTATATACTGCGACGACGAGTGCGAAGGAAGAAACTACAACAAAAAATGTGACCCGACAGTGGGCTAATGAGTGGAGTGGACAGTGACCCAATAGTAAGAGTTGGNGCGAGGAATATAACTGGTCCGAACATGTTTCGATAGAGAACAGATAACACAGTCAAATTTACCACCAACATAAGCATTGCTCAAAGTAGAAAATAACTTACATAAATATTTAAAATTTGTATGCCCAAAACGGTCATGGCACAACTGAACAGTTTGTGATAAAAAATTATAACGAA